TGGACGGACTGTGGGACAGACATCAGCTCTGCACACATGTTCTTAAAGGCCTCCTTCCACAGGCTTTTGCGCCGAACATTCCCCACTCAACCTTTCTAGCGCACCCGCAGTGCTCACAGGCCTCAGCAAACAGGCTCTTTGCTATTCATGTGGCTCTTTGGTGCCAGCTCTGTAAACAAACCACCATTTGTTGCTTTCTAAAAATAAGTCTTTTTAGCTCTGGACAACATTCGCCCTCACTCTCCTGAAAGAAAGGTTGGTTTCTTTGAGGTTGACAAATGGTGGCTTCTGTCTTCCCAGAACGGTGGCAGCCTGTCCTTGTTGAAAGCCCCAAGCCTTCCTTTGACGGCCCAGGTGAGAGGGCAGCTCAGGGCTGGAGTTTGAGCGCACAGCACACAAACATCCTTCAAAATAGGGTTGGATATGTGTGGAGGGAGGTAGCCAGGATCTCAAGGAAGAGGGAAAATAGGGATGGGCCTTAGAGCTAGAAAGAAGGGACAGGGTTGCTCCAAAAGAAAAAAAAAAAAGGCAGGAATTAAGACATGTAATTTACAATGTCCTGCAAGGATGCCTCTCACACACAGAATGAATGTAGTGGCTAGAGAGGCACTCCTCAAACTCGTGTGCAGGAAGGGGCAAGATCGCCCAACGGTGCCACCACACAGAAAAGGAGACTAATTTTACTCCATCTTAGCGTCCATCCCCTAATTTCTGTGCCTTTGCAGTGTAAGAGAGCTTCAAATCCTGCCGCAGAGGATCTGTATGAGTCTGTGTCCTAGGTTCCCATCTGAGACATGGAGATACGGATAGTACCAGCGCCAGCACCAGGGGCATGTGATCTGTGCAATCGCTCAGGGGGCTGGGCTCAAAGCCCATGCTTGGTTTAACGCTCTGCTGTCGCTATCTTGATATTCTTAATAATATTTTTTTGTTGTGGGATAAATGACATATAATATCATATTAATTTCAGGTATACAACATAATGATTTGATATTTGTATATATTGCAAAATGACCATCACAGTAAGTCTAATTAACATCCATCACCATACATAGTTATAAATTTTTTTGTCTGATGAGAACTTTTCAGATCTACTCTCTTAGCAACTTTCAAATATGCAATACACTACTGTTAACTATAGTCCCCATACTGTACATTATATCCCCAGGACTTATTTATTTTATAACTGGAAGTTTGTACCTTTTGACTCCCTTCACCCACTTTGCCTTCTCCCTACCCCGTGCCTTTGGCAACCACCAATCTATTCTCTGTATATATAAGCTTGTTTTGTTTTGTTTTTTTAAATATTCCACATGCAAGTAAGATCATATAGTATTTGTCTTTCTCGGTCTGACTTATTTCACCGAGCATAATGTGCTCAAGTTCTATCCATGTTGTTGCAAATGGCAAGATTTCTTTCTTTTTTACAGCTGAATAATATTCCATTGTGTATATATACCACACCTTCTTTATCCATTCATCCATCGATGGACACTTAGGTTCTTTCCATATCTTGGCTATTGTAAATAATGCCGCAATGAACATGGGGTGTATATATATTTTTGAGTTATCTTAATAATTTTTGAACAAGGGGCCCCACATTTTCATTTTGCACTGGGCCAGTAAAGTATGTAGCTCGTCCTGGTTAGTGCCTATCTCAGAGGGCTGTTCTGAGTATCAACGTTTGGGGAGCACTTCATTACCTGGGTCACACTTCATCAGCCTGAATTTGCTTTGATTACAGCTCCTGTCACTCTGCTGAATAACTAAGCGGCTATGACTGCTTTTTATTTTTTAATTTCCTTCGTAGGAGAAAGAGTTTAGGGGGAAACAGCCTTGGTGGAAAGCGTCATTCCTCTTCATGACCCAGATGGATTTTACAAGAGATTCCCCCTTGTTGAAGTGTGTGCTTCCCTCCCCATTTTCCTGACCTAAGAGTTTTTATAGTGCCCAAAAGTTTAGATATTTGACTGCATAATGTTTAGAGAGAGGGAAATGGGGCGGGGAGGTCATTGGTTTCCATGTGGTTGGTGGCACAAAGGTACTTGGAAGTATGGGGTCCAGAGAGGAAGATAAAGGGAATTCTTTGCTTTTCTTGTAAGGTTCCAAAATTCTTAAAGAGATCCCAACCACCTGGTCACACTGTACTCTCCACATTTCCCAAACATCTTTCCAATTTGTCCACTTTCCCCTTCTCTCTGGGCCTGCAAAGCCCCAGCCCAATGCATGGCCATCGCCTCCTGGCTACACTTCCCTCCTGAGCATCTCCCTGGACCCATTTTGTTGTTGTTTGATTAAAAAAAAAAAAACAGCTTTATGGAGATATAATTCACATAATATACAACTCACCCATTTAAAGTTTACAGTTCAATGGGTTCTGGCGTATTACATTATTAATTGTTTTGAAGTTGTGCTAAATACGTATAACAAAATTTGCCATTTTAAGAGTACAATTCAGTGGTGTTCATTACAGTTATGATGCTGTGCAACCATCACCAGTATTTCCAAAACTTGTTCATCACCCCAAAACGAAGCTCTGTACCCTTTAAGCAATAACTCTCCATTCTCCCTTCTCTCAGCTCTTGGTAACCTCTAACCTACTATCTGCCTCTATGAATTTGCCTATTCTAGATATTTCATGTTAAGTGGAGTCATATAATATTTATGGTCTTGTGTCTGGCTTATCTAACCTAGCATAATGTTTTCGAAGTTCATCCATGTTGTAGCATGTATTGGAAGTTCATTCCTTTTCATGACTGAATAATATTCCACATCTTCTTTATTCATCCATTGATGGACACTTGGGTTGCTTCCACCTTTTAGCTATTGTGAATACTGCTTCAATGAATATTGGTGTAAAGTACCTGTTTGAGTCCCTGCTTTCAATTCTTTTGGGTATATAATCCCTGGACCCACTTATGACTCCTCTAATCCAGTTGCACTCAGCAACCAGAGTAATCTTTACCATCATACACCTGACCAAGTCACTCATCTGCTTATAAGGCTTTGCTGGCTTAGGATAAAGAAGCAAGTGCTCCCAAGGTCTTAGGATAAAGATGGAAGTGTTCATCAAGGTCTCCTGGTCCCTGAACTCTGGCTGTCGACCTCTCCACATCACATTGCCCTTCCCTTTTCTCTCTGCTTGGTCCACTCTAGACTTGTCTCCATTTTTCTATGGAGCAGTGCTTCTTTTGGATTTCACACTGCTGTTTCCTTTTCCTAAAATGTTCATCCTCCCCAAACACCTAGCTTTTGCTTGGCCAATTCTTCCCATCTTTCATATCCATCTTGCACCTAAGAGGTGCAAAAACCACCCTCCCTCCCTCCAGCTCAGCTCTCCCTCTTTTGCACCCTTGGCCCCTTGTCATTCAGGACTCTCAGCTCACTTGGCATTACCCGTTCAACCTCTGCCTTCCTTGCTGTAACAAGGACTAATATTGACTGAGCACTTACTGGTTCCAGGCCCTGTCCTACCCACATCACCAGAATTTACTCATTAAAGACTCACAACAAGCCTGCACACTTTACAGACAGGAAGCCTGGGGGAGCCATCACAGGTAGTAACAGTGCCCACGCTGGCAGCTGGAAGCCAGCGCACACCTACAGGACAGTGGTGGTAGCCCCCAGCCCTGAGGGAGCATCGGCCCTTCCTGTGCCAGCATCCCCACCTGCGCCAGCATCCCTTAGCACGGGATCTGGCGCACATAGCTACCCAACCCATCTAAACTGGATGGATGAATGAAAGGATGGAATGGAGAGTACAGGAGGGACCTGAGTTTTGAGAACACGTTATTTACTGAGTGGCTCCTAAGTGCTAGGCATCCTTACCCACCCTCCCATCCTCGGTTTCCCCAACCTAGGAAGTGCACACTAATACTTAATGCCCGAGGGTTATTGAGAAGGTTGAGAATTTTAACGTCGATTTTTAAAATCACTGTGTCTGGCCGACCGGGTCCCACTCAACAAATGCAGGCGTTTAGCACTTGCCCTGATGGGCAGGAAGGGGCCGGGAATCCCAATTCCGCCGACCCTGCGCCTGCTGGAGCACCGTGTGGGACCCAGTGTCATCCAGCGCCCCGGGGCCTCGCGGCCCACCTCTTAGAGGGTGCCCCAGGTAGGCCGGCGCGTCTCCGTGTTCTCTCTCCAGCCCCCCGCCACAGTCCGGAGCCCGCCGGGGCAGTGCGCCTGGTCCCGCCCTTGGGCCTCATTAGCCGCGTTTCCGCGTCAGGCCCGCCGCGAATTTGGCAGGGCCTCCCCGCGGTGTTCCCGAACACTTTGTGCCGAGCGCCCGCCGGCTCGGCCCTTCTCTCTCCCGCCGGCGCCGCCCGGCACGGAGGGTCGCTGGACCCCAGGTTCCCGCACCCGGCGCGCCGCCACGGAGCCCCCCGCACTTGTCCTCGGTTCCCCCCAGCCGGAGCCACGGAGTCAGCTCCTCGCCCACGTACTGGGCGTCCAAACGCGGGTCACACCGCGCGTAATCGAGAGGTTCAGAAAGATGCTGTGGCCCATTTTAAAACAAAGCCCAATTATTAGCGCTCGGTGGCTGTTTATGCGGGTCCGGTGTCAGATCCTCTGAGCGCTCCAGACAACCAGCACCCAAAGGAAGCGTAGTCGGAGCGAAAGGAAACCAGCTCTGGAGCCGTTTGACCCATTTTGAGAACCCTCCTCCCCGCCCTCTGGCTCATTCCTGTCCTGGTTTCGGAAGCTTGGGCAATTCGCAGGGTCTCAGTCTCCTCTTCTGTGAAATGGGGATAACTGTGAGTGCCTGGTGATTCTGCACGCGGAGCGCGGCGGGTCGCAGGGACGTCCGGGCTGCGGTCCCACACCTCCAGGACCCGACCTTCCCGCGGCCCCCGCCCGCCTCGGCCCCGCCCCGGGCGCGCTCGAGCTCCACGCGCGGCGCTGGCTCCAAAGTGCGTCACCGGCACCGGCCGCGCTCCTCCAGCGGCCAGGGCGAGGCTGGCACCGGGCCAGCGCGGGCCGGGCCAGGGGTGCCGGGCCGTCTCCGGGGCGGGGACCCGGGCGTAGAAGGCTCTTAAGTTGCGCGGCCCTCGGCGCGCTGTTGGGGGCGCCCTCCGCGGCGGGCAGCGCGCCAGGGACCGGCTGCCGTGGGGCACGCGAAAGCTACACTTTCCCTTCGCCCCCCGCCTTGTTTCCTCCTGCGCGGCGGCAGCGGAGATTTCCTCTCGGGGAAACTGCGTGGATCCTTCCCAGGGCTCCTCGCCCCGCCCCCGTTCTCCGCCCCCTCCCCTTTGCTGGGGAGCCGGTGCTGGCCCGTGCGGGAAGTAGGCTCTGGCAGCCTGGGGCGGGTGGCGAGGGGTCGCGGAGCCGCTGGCCACCAACTCGCCCGGCCATGTGACGCCGCTCTCCGCCCAGCGAACCCCCGCGTGCCCCGGGCCCGCGCCCGCGCCCCGTTGCGCCGCGCACCATGCTCCTGCCTGGACACGCGCGTCCGCCCCCCGCGCCTCAGCCGGCGCAGCATCCCGGCCTCCGCAGGCAGGTAGAGCCGCCGGGGCAGCTCCTGCGCCTCCTCTACTGCACTGTCCTGGTCTGCTCCAGAGAGATCGCAGCGCTCACGGACTTCTCCGGTAAGAAGCGCCCTCTCCGGCCTTGCGCCCCCCGGCGCCGCAGGGCGCCCAGGTGAGCCCTGGTCTGGGGGCAGCCGCCTGAGGTGGGCACGGCCGGGTTAGATTAAAGTTGAGACGGGCTCATAGCCAGTTTTCTTGCCTGGTGTGAGCCCTTAGCACATAGGTGGCTGCGGGTGGGGTGGTGGCAGGGGAGCCCCTCTAGAAGGAAGGGTGGGTGAGTAACAGTATTTGGAGTTTCTCGCCCGGCTGTTGACTTTGTCGATTTCCCGGCATCAGCGACCCGACTCTGACGGATGCGTGTCGGTTGGAGGCTCCTTAAGCTGAGCCCTCTGCCGCGCCCAGCGGTGTGAAATACACGTGTTGTGGTCCGAGATGCCGCACTTGGTTTGCCACCCGCGTAGTCCAGGTGCGCCCCAGCCGGCCTCCCATGTGCCCATGTAAGGAGACTAGCCCAGGGATATCTGACCTCAAGTCTGCGCCGGCAGGCTGGGAGGGAAGCCCGCGCGGACTGGAGGTCTTGTGGAGAAGCGGTGAGAGATGAGCAGAAGCTTACAGAACAGAGAGGAGACTCAGGGGCGTGACTTGACCGCCAAAAGGTACCAGCGTCCCCCTCTCCAGTCCCGGTCGCCTTAACAAAAAATAACGACTTCCTTTTCCCGGTAAACGATGAGGCTTTTCTTTCTGGGGACTCGGACCAAGGCTCCCACAGCTGATCTTAGGTAGTTCTGGGGTTGTAGGTGTGGCGCCGCAAAGTAAAAGAAGTTTCTGGGTCGACGATGGCTATAGGAGCCGCATTCTTATATCACCGCTCCCCTTGCTCAGAGTCACAGACGTCCTTGCAGTTGTAGCAGACCTGGGTCTCTGTCGAAGCTGGAGGCCTTCAGCCATTGCCAGCCTCTGCCTGGCCAGGGAAGCAGCTCTGAACCCCACTCTCCCCCTTCTCCAAGATCTTCTGCCAAGTCCAGGTTTTGCATATCACTGCAGCGTCCTGCCTGCAGGGTCTTTTGCAAAATAATCATGGTAAACAGAGTGACTCCTCAGCCCTGTTTGTGCGGTAGACTAGTACATGGCAGAGAACTCTGGCAAACCAGAAACTGAGCTGGGTTTCTAGTTTACTTACAGAGAATGTCATTGTTAACTGAGAGCCCTTAGGTCAGAGGTTCTTTGCTTTGAATATTTAATATCAAGGCAGTGTTTCTACCTAGCAAAGGAAGCCAAAATATGTCTATTTGGCAAGCAAACTGTGGTCCTTAAAATCGAGCACCACAGCGTCAGAATGCTGTGGACTGTAAATGTGCTGGGGAAATGCTTTTCAAGTGCTATTGACTTTTTTTTTTTTTTTTTTGGTGATAGAAATTTCTTGGCTGCTCGAAAAGTTCTGATTTGCTGATTTAAGCAATGGAAAGCAGTTCTGAATTCAGCCACCATCTAGCTCCGAATATTGTAAGGAAAGAAGTGAAAGCTCACAAGCTCTTTGTGTGTGTGACATCATTGCAACTGAGCAAATATTGCTTTAGGTAAATTGCAGGATAACCATTAGATTGTTTTCACAGATTATAGACACAGTGTTGGTTTCTTCAGTGAAACAATTGCAATACTTGTAGCAGTCTATAGGTTACTACCCAAGTTTGGAATTGTCTCAACGTAGCAGCTGTTACAGAGGGTGAGTGAACTTGAGCTATTAAACAGGGAGGATGTATCTTGAGGGAAATGGATGCTTTGATATGTGGATGTTTTGATACATATTCTTCTAAATGATATAAATGATAAAAGGAATTTCCTTTTGCTTTGTGTGGGAACCTGAATTCCAGGGTTTAAAACTCCCTGAGCCAGCGGTAGGTGGTGATATTCCCAGGTCCATTCACAATCAGCCCCCATTTTTTCTCTGGTCAGCCTTGCTCTCCAGAGATCTGAAGACTGGGGAGAAAGTGTCAGGTTGCCTTTTTGGGAGAAGAGAAAAATAATGTCCTCCCAAACCACAGACATATTCAAGTTTAAATTTAAATTCTATATTGTGTGGCATCGGGGAAACATTAGAAAAGGCTCAGGGAGAAAGATGAAGTCTTCCAAATTTGATTAATTTGACTTGAAACTTAATGACCCTTCAGGGCCCCCCTAACCATGTGATATACAGCATCGAGGAAAATTCCTAAGCTCCAAAGATGACAGTCTGAGTGTTGGGTTGAATGTTTTTGTCGAAGCAGTGGATCCCGATCACATAACTCCAACACCCCCTGCCCCCACCCCCATGTCCTCAAAGCCCGATGCCTGCTTTCCTGGGGACAGGCGGTCCTGTTCCTTTTTATGAACTTGGAGGGGTGTGTAGAAACCAGTGCCTGTAAAGAGACAGTGGACTCTCCCCCACGGAGCCTTACAATAGTGGAACACTGGAGAGCAGTATTGACAATGCAGACACTTGTTTTTCTAAACCAGGGAAACATCAAAAACTGAAACTGGGGGAGGATGGAGGGACCTTGGGACCCCTTCGCCCTGTGAAGAAGGGGATGGAAGAAGGATGGTGTATCCATGTGAAAGAAAGTGCCAGAATATCAGGGGTCCCAGCCATTGTCTGTACAGTATAGGGCCTCCCAGGAGATTAGCAGTGCAGAGTTCTGGAAAGTTACTTAAGCCTTTCTCTTCTTTGCAACTCTTCCTTGAGCCTTTTCCTGGGGCTGTCAGCTGGTGTAGTTTTCCTGGGTCATTGGGTTTTTTAGCCCTGGGGATTCCAGCATCGGATCTCATTCTTAATAAGCCAGAGGCTGCGTCTGGGCTCCTCCTCCCCCTCCGTGCTTGTGACTTGTGCTAATCACCTCCAAGCCTGCTGGGAAAAGGCTCCCCAAAGACCCCCTTCTCTCTCATCCCTGAAGATATTGAGATGCTGCCAGCGGCCACAGGAAGGCTATCATCACTGCATTAAAAACATATCCCAGGAAGGCAAGAGCATTTCATGCAAAATTAGTGCCTCTGATCCTTAATCCTATACTCAAATGTGCTTGGCTTGCATCCATTTTCCTCTTTGGGATGGAGTTCTGTTCCTTTGACTGCATTCCCAAATTGAGGATTTGGCCTGAGAGGTCCAAATTGATCATTGATTTTTTTTTTTTAAATATAAGTATAATGTCAGCATCGTATTTGCTCAAAGAACACGGCAGGGGTGAGGGCTGAGAGGAGGGTGGGGTGCCATTTTGGGTTCCAGCCATAAAAAGTGAAAGATCCTCTATATTTTGCCCTGCCTTGAAGAGTGTATTTCTGAACTTAGTTTGCCACGTCCTCTGGTTCTTGCTTGTTTCTTGGGTGGTTTTACTCTCTGTTGTCTCTCCGCTGATGGCAAGCAGGGTCTTCTCTTCCTTCCCTGCATCTTCCCTTTCTCTGTCTTCTGTTCTTTTTCTTTCTTTTCTTTCTTCTCAAAGAAGTTCGAAGTGATTGATGGGCTGATGGGGAGGGAGGGAAGGAAAGGGTGGACACTTGTTCTAGTTCCCACTTGGATTCCTAGAAAACTCCTGACTTTTGACAAAGTAGTCGTGACCCTATGTCACGTGTGGTTTTCCCTAGGGCGCCGAGTGGTGAATGTGGGAAGCAGAAGGGGATGGAGATGAGAAACAAAGAGAGTGGGGCAGCCCTTAGGGCCTTCCTTGTAGCCAAATGTCCCCAGACCTCAAAGAAAGGTCATTGCATGATGGAAGGGGGTCTCTGGGCTGATGTCCTCTCCCCACCGTCAGTAGCCCAAGCAAGGAGCGGTGCTTGTTACTAGATCATTCGCAGCCCAGCAAATGAACCTGACCCTAGCTCCTTATTTCACTGGCCAAGAATGTCAGAATGTAGAAAAATGGTAATTCAATTGATCTTGGGGACTCAGGGGTGGGACCTAGGTCCTAATGGAGGGGACACTGTTGTCCATGTAGGAGAGGTTGAGCCCTTCTGTTCTGCTCAGGTAAGCAGTGGGCGTCAGCCCTGGCTGCACATGGAATCACTTGAGTCTAAACAAGTGTGTGGATGCTCGAGCAGCACCCGTGGGCTTCTGATTTAATTGGTCTGGGGAGAGCCAGGCATTGGTCTCCTTTTGAAAGCTCCCAGGCAATCCCAGTGTACAGCCAGAGTTGAGGACCACTGCTCTGGTGTCCAGAGGCAGGGCTACCTCCTGCCTGTGAATCAGTTCATCCACAGGCACAGAGGCTTGACTGGGTGTCCCTTCACCCCCTCCCCCAGGGCTCACCACCTGGGAGACTAGGACTGTATTTACCCAGCTATCTGTCACTGCATCCTGACACACACCTATGCACACACATGCACGCATACGCACACATGCATGTGTGAATATGTACACACTCACACAGCTTTGCATTTTATTATGCCTTAGTCACATCATCCTTTGATTCAGGGATTGTCTTCACTTTCAAAAATTTTATGGAGTGAAAAGCCAGCTTGTAACCAAAGGAAAACAAACCGAATGTCTGAAGGAGTTGTCCAGCTGTCACAGAAGAAGAGAGATGAAGAGCAACCGTCTGAAACTGCTAGTCTGTTTCCATGGAAAGCAACTACATTTGAAAAGTGTTCTGCCCTCTCTTTCTGTAGCAGAGAAGAGGAGTCTGGGCAAGCGAGTGGCCCCGTTATTGATGGCTTTGGTCTCCCAGGCGCTTTATTGGAAAGGGCAGCCTGGCAGCAGTTTCGGGGAAGGAACAGAAAGGAAGGGAGTAAAAGTTAGTTAAGCCTGGTGTTATCTGATTTCATCCTCATAGCAACCCCATGAGGTAAGTATTAGTTTCCCTTTACAGATGAGAACCCAGCCTCAGAGAGGTTAACTCACTTGCCCAAGACCATCTATCTGGGAAGCAGAGCAAAGGCAGACTAACGTGAGCCCAGGGATGGGGACAGGCTGGGGGACTTGGCCTGAGTGGGTGCTGAGTTTGGAGGAGGGGGGGAGGCAAAGCCAGAAAAAACAGGTGCCACAATTTGCCTAACCATTCTAGATAGTTCATGGAGTGACCACGGCTATTTTAATT